AAAGCCGACATTTTACCTGATCACATTGATCTAAGAGCATTCTGTCCATTCCCTTCCATCAATAATCTCTTCACGAGCGTTGGTCTGGGGGAGTTCCATCCATCTCTAATTAAGGATTATTACTTTTGTGCCAGCTTTAGTAGAATGGCTTCAACAATTGCTTTAGGGTAGAGCACTGTCCTATCTTATCCTGTTCTCCTGGTAGTTTTAGTGTTTCTATTGTGGAGTAAATAATTCTGATGAAGATCTTTTGTCTGATCATTTGTATCCCTAAGGAATACAAATTTTTCACGCGCCATTATACTAACGACAGATTCAATCGTGAGCCCGTCTCACGAAACCACTCCACCTCTAGAATGTAGAAAAATACATAATTTAACCTTTATAGGGCCCCAAGTAATAAGACAATTGAACGAACTAAAGCTGCTGTTAGATCCTACATATTCCCTGAAGAAGGTACAGATAAACATTCAGACAGACATTACACATTTACAGAAAGATTGTCAACCGTTTATACACCAAAGCCTCAAAGGCTGGAATGCCTGGTTAGCAACTAGGTCTTTCCACAAACGGACACAAAGGGATCTAAGTGGATGGGTTGGCACAGGGTTTGGCATATTAAACACTATAGATCAAGAAGTATTAGTAAATAAGTTAAGTACTGTCACTTCTAATTTGGGAAAGCTTAAAGTACCTTTAAGTTCATCCATCCTAACTTTGGCAGAAACACAATAATTGGTAGTCAAATTGATGACCTTAGTAGCCAACCATATCGCTGAAGACTTTGCTAAAATTGCTGACTATACTGGAGATATTAGCAAAGAAATTGCACTTGCTATCCAGTGTGTTCAGACACAACAATGGGTACAATCAGTAGCAGCAGGAATATTAAGAGAAGGAATGTCAGGCATACTGCCTCAGGAAATAAGGGAAATAATACTAAAAGATAGCTCCACTACACGATTTGAAAAAGACTACCAGGCTTGGTGGCAACTAGTTAACTTTACTTATGATCCACAACAGGAACACATTGAAACCTATGTCCTCACTATCAGCGCTGCAGAAGAAAGAGCAATATTTCCTGTTTTAACATTAGGAGGTATACATCAGAATGTCATTGTCAAACCTGTGGATCATAATGTTTGGGCAAACTATGACAGTACTAAGAACAAGTGGCAGTCAATTAGTACAGAAGCATGTATTCCTAAAGGACAATTAGGTTATATTTGCGAAAATGCTATTATAGAAGCTGAAGACCTATGCTTAGATGCTGAAGATAGTGTATGTACCTTTGAAATGCTTCCACACAATAGAGTCCAATCACAGGTATTCTATATAGGGAATGGATGCGCTTGTATTAGAACCACTTTCAATGAGGTTACTATAGATGATTGCCACGAAATAACTAATGATACTAACTTTTGCATATGTAACTTCACTAAAGCTATAGGTTGTGACTTTAACTACACCGCCCCCATAACTACGCAGCAGTTAATCAAAGCTAAGTATACTTTGTATCATGAAATACCCAAGTTACAGATAGGCATGGATACTAAGCTCCTCAAAGAAATGCTCGTACATCCTGAAGTGGAGAAGTTAGTTCGAAAGGTGAATCAAACTACTCAACGCATGTTGTGGCAGGTAGAGCATAATTCAAAAGGCATAAAGAATATCCTAACAAAAGTTGCACAAGTAGGTCAACATCACTGGTGGGATATCTTCACAGGATACTCCCCGACAGCAACACAAGTCTTTCACTACCTGATACATCCAATACTAATTATAACCATAGCTATGCTCTTGTTAACCCTCATGAATATATGCCTGTGGTGTAAGTTAAGGTCTATGGTCAGAAGAACCCAAATAATCTGGGCAATGGTACAACGCCCTCTAGGATTAGAATTTGACGAAAGAATTTGTAAATTCTAAAGAAAAGGGGGGAAATGAAGCCAGGTAAAACCTGGAAAGCGAATCTAGTAGAGCAATGTAAGGATTAGAGAGAGTTAAACACAGAATACAGGCTTCTAGGCAAAGCATGGAAAACTCAGTATTAGGAAATAACAGAGGCAATAAATTCACTAGAATGCAGGGACACTGTGACATGAAAGAATAGAACGGGAAGAACTAAAATGCTAACACACGCAAAAAGGACGTATGGAAAGAAAACAACAGGAGATAAGGAAAGAGACAAGCCAAGAGATGAGGTACTCTTGCCAGATACTGAAAGTCCTTGCCAAATGCATCAGGATACTACCCAAATTAGGGAAGGTTCAAAAGTTTATGAAGATGATGATGAAAGGACACTGGGTTCATGATAAAGTAAGACCGGATTGACCACCGAAGTTCTCCCCAAATTAGTGACCACGCCTCAAACTCTGCCTTGACTCTGCCTGTTATGAATATTAAGAGTAGATGTTGCAATATAATGAATATTCATAATATGTGATGTAATTGCTTGGCAAAAAGTGTATAAAAACTCAATTGTAAGTTTTCTCGAGCGGAGCAGTTTGTCCAGGGCGACCTGGCTGCTCCCCGGCCGTAAAATAAATACCTCCTGCTTATAGACTGAAAACTCTGTCTCTGAGCAGTTCTTCCGTGCCTTGTTTGGGGCAAAAATTGGCATCATGCGGGAAGGACTTCAAGCAGAACTCCACCCTCATCACCCACCGGCTCATCCACACTGGGGAGAGGCCCTACAAGTGTGGGGAGTGTGGGAAGAGCTTCACCTACAGCTCTGACTTTACCAGACACCAATGGACCCACCGATAAGGGAAGCCCTTGAGTGCCCCAACTGCGGGAAGAGTTTTGACTACTGCATCCACCCCGAATGAACCCCCTGATGGTGAGGCAACCCCTGGAGTCCAGTGACTGTCAGTCCATCCCTTATTACCAGAAAGTGCCAGTCCCCTTTCACAGGGGCAGCTTCTTCCAACAGAACCCTTCTTGGGGGGGGGGGGGGGTGTGGATTCCCCCAAGTTCAGTCCTGGAGGTTGAGAGCAGAGATCTCCCCACGAGTGTTGGTCTGGTGGAGTTCCGTCCATCTCTAATTAAGAATTATTGCTTTTGTACCAGCTTCAGTAGAATTGCTTCAACAATTGCTGTAGGGTAGAGCACTGTCCTGTCTTATCCTGTACTCCTGGTAGTTTTAGTGTTTGTATTGTGCAGTAAATAATTCTGATGAAGATCTTTTGTCTGATCATTTGTATCCCTAAGGAATTAATTTCTATCAATAGATCTGATTTGCCGTCATTAAATCCTGGGGGACCAAAGTGATTCAATCACACTTCTATAATTCCTCTAAACTTAAAGTGTTGGCATGATCCAAGGCTGAGATTGGATCCAGCAGCCCCCAGCACCCCACAGGAAGTTGGGAGGTCAGGGGGACCATCACCCTTTCCCAACCCCCCTGTGCCCAAAGACCCCCATGGGACTGTCAGACCTGCAAGACCACCTCCCTTTTCCACCTTTCTCCCTGTTCCTCCCACTTTCCCACTGTCCCATCAATGCCCAATTTCCTACCGAAGAGTTTTGGAGTCCCAACCCCCACTTTTTACCCCCTCTCCTGTGAGTACTTAAAGAGAAAATGAGGTTGCACACACAGAGTTCCATTGGGGGACTTGTCCGCCCGTATTTGCGGCGTCCCCCTTTCATTGGGGTTCCTTTGGAAACAGCGCCTGGGCTTTGTTTTTTAGTCCACTGGAATTCCCCCCATTGCCCCAAAGCAGTGCCCTGATCCCACACATTCCCCTTCCCTCATGTGCTGGCTGTGTTCAACCACCAGAGAAAAACACAGGCTACCATGCAGAGCGTTCCAAGTGGTTTCCACTTTGGCAAACAGCACTCTCTTGATGGAAAACCCCAGTCAAGACCAAAACACTGCTTGTTGATCCTGATTAACAGAATGCAGCTGCTGCTGCCTTAAATTGTTCCCACAAATATTCTCAGGGTTCCTTTGGTTCAAGGAGGCCCCACATGTCCCAAAGGACCCTGGATTCCATGAACTTCCACAGTCTCCAAAGGTTCCTTTAGTTCCATGAGGTCCTGCAGTCCCAAAATGTCCTTTGGATTCTCGGAGATTTCCTATTGTCCCAGGGTCCTATGTGCTTCAGAAGTAGTTGCAGTGGGAGAGTGGCCCCTTGGTTCCGTGAACTCTGCAGTGTTCCAGGAATCCTTGGGTTCCAGGAGAGCCTGCAGTTTCACAAGGACCACTTGAATCCAGGAGTTTCTGCAGGGTCACAATGGCCCCTGGATTCTGGGAGGTTCAGAAATATCTCAGAGCTCCCTTGGTTCCAGGAGGACACGCATGTCAGCAGGAACCCTCAGTTCCAGGAGGTTTTACAATGTCCCAGAATTCCTTTGATTTCATGAGGCCTTGGATTGTCCCAATGGACTCCTGATTCCATGAGTCCCCTCAATGTCACAGTGGTCTATTGGTTCCATGAGTTTCTACAGCGTCAAAGGGTTCCTTTTGTTCCATGGGGACCTGCGGTGTCACAATGGACCCTGAATTCCAGGAGTTTTGCCAGGGTTACAGTGCTACCTTGATTCCATGAGATTCCACAGTGCCCCACAGCTCCTTTGGCTCCAGAAGGCCCTGCAGTGTCACAATGATCCTTCATTCCACGGGGGTTACTTAATGCTTTATTTCCCTCAGTCTTTAACACCCAAAGCAGTTGTCCTCAGGATCCCCAGCTCCCAGGGCTGGCAGTTGGTGATGGGGAACTGAGTGAAGCCCCCACAATCCCAGTCAGTGACCTGTTCTGCCAGTGAGACCCCCACAAGTGCCTGGGCCCACATGGGATGCACCCAAGAGTCCTGAGGGAGTTGGAGAAAGAGCTGACCAAGCCACTCTCACTCATTCCCCAGTCGTTCTGCAGAACTGCAGAATTCCCAGTTGACTGGCAACAAGCAAATGGGATGCCCATCCACAGGAAGGGCCAAAAAGAAGGATCTGGGGAACTCCTGTCCTGTCCCATTGACCTCAGGACCGGGGAAGTCCATGCAGCAGATTCTCCTCAGTGCCATCCCATGGCACGGGCAGGACAACCAGGGGATCGGGCCCAGTCAGCATGTGGTTGGGAAAGGCAGGTCCTGCCTGACCAACCTCATCTCCTTCTCTGACAAAGGACCCCCTCAGTAGCTGAGGGAAAGTTTGGGGATGTGTCTCTCTGGAGTTCCGGAAAGCCTTTGGCACCATCTCCCCCAGCATCTCCTGCACAAACTGACTGCTCGTGGTTTGCCCAGGGGAACTGTTTACTGGGTGACAAACTGGTTGATGACCCAGGGAGTGGTGGGGAATGGAAGGAAATCCAGGTGGGGCCGGTTACTAGTGGGGTTCCCAAGGGCTCAGGGTTGGGGTTGCTCCTGTTTAACGTTGTTACTGATGATCTGCACCAGGGGATCGAGTGCCCCCTCAGTAAATTTGTGGACAACACCACGTTGGGTGTGAGTGTGGATGTGCTGGAGGGTAGGCAGGCTCTGCAGAGGGATCTGGACAGGTTGGATCAATAAGGCCAAGTGCCTGCACTTGGGTCCCAACAACCCCCTGGAATGCTCCAGGCAGGAGGCAGAGGGGCTGGAGAGCTACTCAACAGGAAGGGACTTGGGGGTGCTGCTTGAGAGTGGCTGGATATGAGTTAGAGTGTGCCCAGGGGGGCAAGAAGGCCAAGGGCATCCTGGCCTTTGTGGAGAAGAGTGTGACCAGCAGGAGCAGAGAACTGATTGCCCCTCTGTGCTGGGCACTGCTGAGGCCCCACCTCGGGTGCTGTGTCCAGTTCTGACCCCTCAGTGCAAAAAGGTCCTTGAGGGGCTGGAGGGTGTCCAGAGAAGGGAATGGAGCTGGGGAAGGCTCTGGCAAACATGTCTGCTGAGGGACAGCTGAGGAAACTGGACTTGTTGAGTCTGGAGAAGGGAAGACTCAGGGGGGACCTCATTGCTCTCTACAATGAACTGAAAGGGGGTTTTAGTGGGGTGAGGGTCGGTCTCTTCTGCAAAGTCTTTAGTGACAGGAAGAGAGGAAACGACCTTAAGTTGAATCAGGCGAGGCTCAGATTAGATGCTAAAAGAATCTTTTTCCACTGAGAGAGTGTTCATGCATTGGAACAAGTAACCCAGGAAGGCGGTGGAGTCTCTGGAAGTGTTCAGGTGTGTGGTGAGTTGACTTTGGCTGGACACCAGGTGCCCACCCAGTCGCTCTATCACTCCCCTTCCCAGAAGGACAGGGGAGAGAGTAAGGTGGAAAAAAAAATAGTGGGTTGAGATAAGGTAGTTTATTTAAAGCAAAAAGCAAAGTGATGCTTGTGCGCGCAGAAGCAAAAGATATCAGGGTTTGTTCTCTGCTTCCCATGAGCAACCATGGTCTGCCATGCCTGAGGAGCAGGGCTTGGGGATGCGGGAAGGTTCCTCAGCAGGCAACCATTAGATAATGAATGCCTCCCTCCTGCTCCATGCCTCAGCTTTTATATCTGAGTTGACCTCACATGGTCTGGAATGTCCCTTTGGTCATTTGGGGTCGGCTCGCCTACTTGGGTCCCCTTTCCAGGATCTTGCCCTCAGCTAAGGAAGGAATGTCCCAGTGCTGGTGCTGTGCTCAGCAGTGGCCAAAACACTGGTGTGTTCTCAACACCCTTCCAGCTGCCAATGCAAAGCACAGCACTGGGAGGGCTCCTGTGGGGAACTGAACTCTTCGGAGTGTAACTTTTCTAGAATGGTAGATTGCTGCCTTTTGACATGTATGTCTTCTGAAACAATTTATGTATTTGTTGTGTTACAGAAGCTCTAAATCTCTTCTGTTTGTTTACGTAACGCTTGTAATGTTTTTTCAAATAATTCTTATTTCCTTCAAACAAAGAGGGGCTTTTCTCTTTGCTATTCCTTAATATAGCAGGTTTGCATTAAAGGGAATCTTGTCTAATTTCCAATTATTTTCCTGTTTTAAGCAGCGTAGCTTTTTAATCAGAACATCGTTTCCCAATTCTTTTAAAATTGAAATAAAATTAATTTTTTTCACTTCAACTTCCTGTACTTGCTAGGAGAAATATCCATTAACAGGCTAATGAAAATTAGAGCAATATAGGTACTTTCACACAGTGTAAGATAAGCATATGCTGTTTTTCTGTACCACTGAATGTCTGATTTTTACCGTGGGTCACCATTCTGAATTTGTATGAAATTTTGATGAAATTTGCGGATTTAGATCAAAATAATTTATGAGGCAAAACAAAACAAAAAATTCTTACTTTTTGTGACACTAACACAGAACCTTAAATATGAAATTGAAGAAGGATGGCCGTGTCCTGTGGTAAGTTAGTATATCAAGGTGTATGAAAGTTCCTTGTTCTCCATCTAATCAAGCCATTTATAGTGTCCTTGTACAGAATTGTGCACATTTATTTATATGATAACCTACTGAAATATAATTAGCTACCCCTATGCATGTGAGAATTGTCCAAATATATCCTTTTATCATACATTGAAAATTATATTCCCTTTCCCTGAATAAAACTCTTGGCAGCTTTGAGTTGCTGTCTTTATATGGGAAGGCATAAGATTCTCTTAAAGAGTTTTGTTCTGAAACCAAACTTTAAGATAAAGTGATTTGAGGTTTTTGAGGTTATTACTCTGTAGCTTAGCATGGGTGTCTCTTCCTCCTCTGTGTCTTTTCATGTTGCTGTAAGTGGAAAAAAACCTGCACATCTCCTTTTCATCATTTGGATTGGAACTACATACCATAGGTAATGTGTTTTGGCAACACTTACCTAGCCCAAGAAAACAAATTAATATTAGCCATGCTGAGGAGTGTCAGAAGTATCCCAGATGTGTCGATTTAGCTTTGCTCCATCACACACTCTTTCCTTAAACAACTGGTCAAGCTGTCGCAAAATGTCGTGTTGGCTCCAGTGAGATTTTAATGGGTGTGATCAGAGATTGATGGCTTTGGCAAGTTAGAATGAGAAGATGATGTGGAGTTGCTGTCTCCTGTTTTGAATGTCCTCAGAAATAAAACCCCAAACAAACAAAGAAAAAAGAAAATAAAAATTAAAAAAAAAGTAAAAATAATTAAAAAATTATAAACCTTTTGTGTGTGTGCGCTCCCCCCTCCAAACCAGCTAGACATGAAACAGTTTAAAGTCCTATAGATGTAGAGATGAAAAAGTCATATCTAAACTGTAGTGCTAGCTTGTTC